GGGCAGTGGTAGGGTCCCGAGTTCATGACCCCGCCTTTCCCCCCTTTATCTTCGCCAACCGCCCCAGGATCAGTTTGAGGTGCTGGAGCGCCACACGCTATGGGGGCTGGACCTGTTGGACAGATACGTGAAGTTCGTGAAAGAACGCACGGAGGTGGAACAGGCTTATGCGAAGCAATTGCGGTGAGACCCTATGGTGGACGTGCCCTGGAGCGAGGGGGAGTTGTTAGAGGGCTGGGGGCTCAACCTTCATGCCTTTGTCTCCCCTTAGGAACTTGGTGAAAAAATATCTGCCCAAGAGACCTGCCAAAGATGACCCTGAATCCAAGTAAGGCTGGAGCGGGAATGCTGGCCTCAACTTGGTTATGGGGGGAGGGCGCCACCTTTTGGTCTCACTTCCTCTCCCTCATCTGGGGCACCCCCCACCTTGATTCCCCTGAGGAGGTGAGAGCATGGATGCAACACACAGATTACCTGGGTTGAAATCCTAAGTCCACTACTATTTACCTGGGCAAATGACTCAAGTTCTCTGCCCCTATTTTCCTCATCTGTTAAATGGGTGGTTCCAACAGTTACAAATTAGTGACTGAGCAAGTGACCTAAGTTTTGTGCCTCTGGCTGGGCGCCTGAAGCACAGTGGTTCCTGGTGCCAGCCACATACACCCAGGCTGGTGGATTCGAACCATGCCTGGGCCTGTTAAACAACAATGACAACTGCAACAAAAAATAGCTGGGCATTGTGGTGGGTGCCTGTAGTCCCAGCTACGCGAGGCTGGCAAGAGAATCGCTTAGCCCAAGAGTTTGAGGTTGCTGTGAGCTGTGATGTCACAGCATTCTACCAAATGTAACATAGTGGGACTCTGTCTCAAAAAAGTTTTGTGTCTCTGTTTTCCTCATCTGTGAAATGGGGATGGGTGCCTTGTGTAGGGCTTGCACGAACATGAGCTGAGTTATTGTGTTCAAAGAGTGACCAGTTTTAATAGTGTTGTAGGAACATCTGATTTTATTCTGAGTCTCCCAATTCCAAAATCCAAAAAGCTCTACAGAAGTGGAAAGTTTTTTGGCAAATTGTTAGGCACAGCCTATGATCTGAATTGAACTAGAGTTGACTAGAATTAATTCTAGTCCTGATTTTTTAATCTCACTTAGCGTGAATATTAATAACTCACTGTAAAAATGCTCATGGTGTTTGACTACAGGTTTCTTCCCCCAGCCCCACTGGGGTGATGCATAAAAAGATGGTATATGTTGGGCCAGGCATGGTGGATCACAGCTGTAATCATAACACTCTGGGAAGCTGAGGCCAGTGATTGCTTAACCTCAGGAGTTCGAGACCAACCCGAGCAAGCATGAGAACCCATCTATAAAACTAGGTGTTATAGCCAGGTGTTGTGCCTGTAGTCCTCGCTACTTGGGAGGCTGAGGCAAGAGGATCACTTGAGCCCAGAAGTTTGAGGTTGCTGTGAGCCATGACATTCTACAGAGGGCAACAAAGTGAGACTGTTTCCAAAAAAAAAAAAAAAAAATGGCATATGCATTGTATGCCCTTTTAAACCCCCCCAAATTCTGAGTTCTGAAAAGCATTCAACTGAAGAATTGGGAGAAAAGGATGTAGAGTATAATGTATCATTGCTCTGGGGATGATTGTTTTGGGGCTTACCTTTCCCATCTGGAGGTGGATCCTGGGACATCTGGCTTCTAACTCCCTGCTCCTCACTTCTTACTCCACCCTAGGTTCAGCCAGCAACAGTCCTTCATGCAGATTCTCCAGGAGGTGAATGATTTTGCAGGCCAACGGGAGCTGGTGGCCGAGAATCTCAGTGTCCGCGTATGTCTTGAGCTGGCCAAGTACTCACAGGAGATGAAACAGGAGAGGAAAATGGTGAGAGATCCCCTCTTTGGGTCTCCCATAAGGATCCTGCCAGAACCCTGGTGAGCGTTACTGCTCTTCTTTCCATAGCACTTCCAAGAAGGACGGCGAGCCCAGCAACAGCTGGAAAATGGCTTCAAACAGCTGGAGAATGTGAGTTTAAAGGGATGATGTTCTGCTCTGGCTCAGAGGAGCAGGGTGAGGGTTGTTGCTCGTGGAACTGCCCTTCTCTTCTGTGGGTTTCCAGCATGCCCCTTGTCTTCTAACACAGAGTAAGCGTAAATTTGAGAGAGACTGCCGGGAAGCAGAGAAGGCAGCCCAGACGGCTGAGCGGCTAGACCAGGATATCAATGCCACCAAGGCTGATGTGGAGAAGGTGTGTGTGGGATCTGGGACAGGCCTAGGGGATTGGGGTGAGACATGGTTAGAACCTAAAAGTAACCTCTGTCTTGATATTCCTCAGGCCAAGCAGCAAGCTCACCTTCGAAGTCACATGGCAGAGGAAAGCAAAAACGAATATGCAGCCCAACTACAACGCTATAACCGAGACCAAGCCCACTTCTATTTTTCACAGATGCCCCAGATATTTGATGTGTGTACTCCAAGTTCCCATACCCTAAAATACTCTAAAAGCTAAACCAACTCTCATACATATGTCGAAAGCCCAGCTACAATGTCCTAGTCTCTAGTCAGCAGTTCTCAACCTGTGGGTTGCCATCCCTTTGGACTGTATTAAAGGTCACGGCATTAGGAGTTTGAGAACCACTGCTCTAGATTGAAAGGGAATTAGAAACCTATAATGACACTGAGCTGTGCTTTTACTTCAGGTATTCTTTTCTACCAGGGATGTTTTTCATTTCTCTTAAAACTCCTGCTTATTCTACTGAGCTTCAGTTCTTACAAACCCTCCAAAACATCCTTGATTTTCCCCTCTTCTGTTTCAGCCTTCCACTCTCTGTCCGGTCCTTGGCACTGGGAGTATCTTTGCTGGGTCTTCTTTTTCCTTCAAATCCCTGTTCCCTGTCTCCTTTGAAAAGCCTTTCCTGACTTCCTATGCAAGTGACGCCTCTAAGATTTCCTCTGGTGTTGTGTCTCTACACCACACTCAGCTGGAGTCTTGGTTCTCTATTCTGTTTTCTGCACCAGATGAGGCTTGGGGCTGGGGCCTTCGTGGAGCACTGTCATATTTGCAGGGTGAATCATTCTGCCACTGGTCCTTTAGTTAGCCCGCCTTAGCCACACTTGCCCCTGTCCCTACAGAAGCTGCAGGACATGGATGAACGCAGGGCCACGCGCCTGGGGGCTGGATATGGGCTGTTGTCAGAGGCAGAGCTGCAGGTGGTTCCCATCATTGCCAAGTGCTTAGAAGGCATGAAGGTGGCTGCAGACGCTGTGGATCCCAAGAACGTGGGTGCCTGGTCTGGTGGGATATCCAGTGGGCAGAGGGAGGCTCCCTGAAGCCTTGGCACTTAGTTTTGCACTGATTGCCCACCTGCTGTGCCCTCCCCCCAGGACTCACAGGTCCTTATAGAGCTGCACAAGTCAGGTTTTGCCCGCCCAGGAGATGTGGAATTCGAAGACTTCAGCCAGCCCATGAACCGCGCACCCTCGGATAGCAGCCTGGGCACCCCCTCAGATGGACGATCCGAGCTCCGTGGCCCAGGCCGCACCCGTGCCAAGCGCTGGCCCTTCGGCAAGAAGAACAAGGTGGGGGCTGTGGCCCCTGGGGTGGGGGCAGGAGGACAGTTAGGGGGGACAGTGGGCCCCTACTGAGTCAGCCCCAGCCTCCTGAACGCTGAGTCCTGGGCAGGAATTTTCCTCTTGGCTGCAGGCCCAGGCTGGAGGGAAGGAAGGCGGGCGGGTCTATTGGCCTGGGAGTCCCCCGAGGCAGAGGGGGCAGGGTAGAGAGGCCTGTGGCGTCTGCTGCTTCTCAGTATGCTGGGAGAAGACCTGCTTGTGGAATTCAGGGCTAGCCCAAAGGCTAGGGACACTGGTTCTGGGGACTTCCTGGAATTTATCCATCCCACGTATGAGTCTTTGGGTCCCTGCCCACATGCTCTGTTTCCTTGGGTTTTTGACTTTCAGTGTTGGGGATACACCATGACATTCCTGATTTATACCTTTAATGACTCCCCTTTCCCTAGCAGACCTTTAACCTCCTGGTTTATACTATACTTTGATCTTTATTGGCTTACTGTTTGACACCCTCCTTCACTTCCACCTGCCTTTGCCCAGCTTAAACCTTCAATTCCCCTAACCCGTCAGATGTTACCCCCCTTCCACTCTTTTAGCTCCTTCTTTTGGCTTCTGTGGCCCTGTTCTCATCTGAGACTTTGATTTCCTGCATGTGTCATCTTCCCCTACCTTCCAGACTGTGAGCCCAGAAAGCTGGGGGGCAGAGAAATGGGCCTATTGGGGTCCCTATGTTAGTTCCTGGACGTCCAATTCAAGGGACATAAAAGATAAGGGTGGGAGAGAGGGCTCTGCCTTCTGGTTCACAGTCTGACCTATTCTCCTAGCCACCTCCCAAGATTTTTGTGTTGCTCTTGAGTGTGTTTTCTGTGTTTGACTCTGCATATCTTGAGTTGTGGTTTTCTTACCATTATTATTTTTTTCTTTCTCCATTTTGTTTTTTCCTTTTTTTTTTTTTTTTTGGTGTCTGTCCATCTGTTCTTCTGTCCATCCGTCCTCATTTTCTTTATCCTCTTACCTCCTACAACTCTCCTGAACCATCCCCTCCCCGGCCCCTGCCGGTAGCATTGCCCCCCACCCTTCTCCCCACTGGGGGGCTCTCTACCTTTGGCATTGCCTAATGGACCCCCATCCCCCCGCTCCGGCCACGATCCCTTTGCCATACTGAGTGAGATCAGTAAGTCGGTCAAACCAAGGCTAGCATCCTTCCGCAGCCTTCGAGGCAGCCGTGGGGTAAGTGAGGCCTCAGGGCAGGAAGATATGTTGGCCCCAGCCTGTCCAGCAGCTGGGTGGCGGGACCCTGGGCTGGCTTCCTGCCGCTGGCTGGGTGCCCCCTTCCCCAGTTGCCTGACTTAGACCTGCTTTGCTCAGTGCATGGCCTTGCCCCCAAGGACCTTGGATGGGGAGGAAGGTGGACTTGCTGTACCGTAGACATGTGCAGAGCCTGGAAGAGCCTAGATCCCATGATCCCAATTTCAGACCTGTTCCCACCTTGCAGACAGTGGTGACAGAGGATTTTAGCCACTTGCCTCCAGAGCAGCAGAGAAAGCGGCTTCAACAGCAGTTGGAGGAACGCAATCGTGAACTTCAGAAAGAGGTTGACCAGAGGTGAGGAGGGGGTGGGGAGAGGGAAGGCAGACAAGGAACACAGTAAGATAATAAATGAATTACATTTAAATGGTACTCAAAGAGCTCCCCAGTAAACGCCAGACCCTGATGGTTTTACAGGTGATCCTATCTACTTATGAGAAACTTACTTCTTACCTTATACACTCATTCTAGTAAACAGAAACAAATGAAAGCTGTTGGCTTATTTTGGAAGCTAGTGGAATTGGGATGCCCAAATCGTGACCAGGAATTCAAGAAGATAAAATCATGGGCTCCTTTTACCTCATTTATGCAAAATTCTAGCCAAGTAGATCAAGTGGTGTATTAAAAAAATAATACATCATCGTGTGATGATGGTTGCACAACAATGAGAATTTACTAATAAATGCCACAGAATGGTGCGCTTATAAATGGCTACAGTGGGCGGCACCTGCAGCTCAAAGGAGTAGGGCGCCGGCCCCATATGCCAAAGGTGGCGGGTTCAAACCCAGCCCCGGCCAAAAAACAAAACAAAACAAAAAAAAACTGCAAAAAAAAAATGGCTACAGTGGTAAATTTTGTGTTAAGTATATCTTAACACAATAGAAAATATTTTTTTAAAAAGACTCAAACCACAATCAGTTGGGTGTTATCCCAGTAATGCAAAGATAGTTCAATATTAAAGCATTAGTCAGTTTAATTCATGATATTAAGTGACTAAAAAAAAAGTTATATGGCTATCTATGTAATAACTCAAACACTTAAAATATTAACAATGAATGCCAGATTAAAAAACATATTTTTACTCTTCCCAAGCAACAAAATCCTCTTCCCAGTCCTGTTACATAATAGGAATGACGTTTGCCACTTTTGAATTGTCAGCCAAATTATATTTTGCTGTTTGCATGTAACCTCTTGGACAAAATGCCTTTTATTGATATAACAGTCCATTTGGAACTCTACAGTTCCTGGGTTTTTATGGTGGAGGGCATAAGGGTGCATGCTTTAGAGTTCAGAAAGACTGGTCTTGATTGCTAGCTCTGCTTCTGAGATCTCCGGCAGCTTGTCTAAGTCACCTTTTTAAAATTTTATTTCAGATTATTATGGAGCTACATACATTTTGGTTATATAGTTTGCTTTTGTTAAAGTCAGTTACAGGTGGATCCTTCACCCAGAAAGAGTGTAATGTACCCGTGCAGTGTACCTGTTGGGTGGGAAATTGCCCATCCTCTTCTCTTCCTTCCCCATTCTTGAATTTCAATGCTTCACCCTTTTATTCCTTAGTTTCTTCATCTGTAAAGTGGATCAGATATTAAAACTGGAAAAAAGTTAAGCCCAGGTCTGATGTGTTCCAAAGTTCTATTTTTAGAGATGGTTGTTACAACCTATATATAAAGACACAGAGGAGATAGAGACTAATAATATTGATGCATTTATTGATTGTGTACTGTAATGCAGGCACCATCTAAATGTGGATTTATAGGAATTCTCAGATTTTCCTGAGAGATTATGAGTAGAGTTAGGATCCTGACTTGTTTAGGCCCTATTTCTGATGCTTAGAATAGTGCCTGGTGTGCTGTAGGCAGTTGATAATAATAACTGCATAGGATTTAACATAGAACTGCATAGTACTGTTACAGTGACTGACATGAGATATTTGTATCATCCCCATTTTTTTTTTCTTGAGGCATAGTCTTACTATATTGCCCTTGGTAGAGTGCCACAGGTCATAGCAACCTCCAACTTGTGGGCTTAAGCGATTCTCTTGGCTTGGCCTCCCAAGTATCTAGGACTATAGGTGTCTGCCATAATGCCTGGCTATTTTTTTGGTTGCAGTTGTCATTGGTGTTTAGCAGGTCGAGGACAGGCTGGAATCCACCACCTTCCATGTATGTGCCAGTGCCCTACTTATTGAGCTACAGGCGCTGAGCCATCATCCCCATTTTTAAGAAAAGTATACTGGGGCTAGTGTTTGATAACCCAAACCCACACAACTGGGAAATGCTCACACTAAGATTTGAACCCATGCAATCTGGCACTAGCATTTGAGTTTTTTCTTTTTCTTTCTTTCTTTTTTGAGTCAGAGTGGGTAGAGCACAGTGGTGTCATCACAGCTTACAGCAACCTCAAACTTCTGGGTTCAAGCAATCCTCTTGCCTCAGCCTCCCAAGTAGCTGGGACTACAGGCACCTGCCATGACACCTGGCTATTGTTTTTTTTTTTTTTTCTATTTTAGTAGAGTTGGGGTCAAATGTTGGTCTCAAATTCCTAACTAAGCTCAGGTGATCTTCCTGCTTTTGCCTCCTAGTGTGCTAGGATTATAGGCTTGAGCCACCATGCTGCACTGGCCTAGTATGTGAGGTCTTAACTGCTGTCCTGTCTTGCTCCTTTCTCCTTGAAACAAAGCCCCTGTCTTTTGTTTATTAAGTCATATGGGACTCTACTTTCTGTCTGTCTGTCTGCTTTGTCCTAGGGAAGCCCTAAAAAAAATGAAGGATGTCTACGAGAAGACACCCCAGATGGGGGACCCTGCCAGCTTGGAGCCCCGGATCATGGAAACCCTGAGCAACATTGAACGGCTGAAATTGGAAGTGCAGAAGTATGAGGTAAGAGAAGGACCCTGGGGAGGGCTGGGGGCCAGAAGGGCTGGCTGAGTCACTGTTGGGTGTGGTAGGGGACAGGGAGATGCTGTGGTGGGTGGGGGTTTCCAGCTGTTTCTCATCATATCCTTGAGTATACATGGGTGATCTCAGGAACCCTCTAGGTCCAGAGTGGACTGACCCCAGATCCCTTCCCTGGAATTGATCCTGTAGTCTTCTCTTCCCAGACATGGCTGGCAGAAGCCGAAAGTCGGGTCCTAAGCAACAAGGGGGACAGCCTGGGCCGGCATGCCCGGCCTCCTGACCCCCCAGCCAGTGCCCCACCAGATGATGGCAGTAATAGCAATGTGTCACAAGACAACAAGGAATGGTGAGCAGGGGAGGCCAGAGCAGAGCTGTCCCCAGGGAGCCAGGAATGCCCATCTTTATCTACTGATTTCTCCCCAATCAGTTCTGAAGAGCCTCTCTCAGATGAAGGCCAGGATGCCCCCATTTACACCGAGTTTGATGAGGATTTTGAGGAGGAACCTGTTACCCCCATAGGCCACTGCGTGGCTATCTATCACTTTGAAGGTGAGGATGGCTGGGGTAGGCTTATGCAGGGGTGGGTGTCAGTTGCTTGAGCAGATGATATCTATCTCTGGCTAGGGTCTGCTTAAACTTACCTAAAGCAGACCTTGGCCTACCCACCTCCACTCCCTGACAGGGTCCAGTGAGGGCACCATCTCCATGACCGAGGGTGAAGACCTCAGCCTCATGGAAGAAGACAAAGGTGATGGCTGGACCCGAGTCAGGCGGAAAGAGGGAGGTGAGGGCTATGTGCCCACCTCCTACCTCCGAGTCATGCTCAACTGAACCTTGCCAAGGCGGGAAGAGAGGCTGCTGTCGGCTGCTGCTTCTGGGCCACAGGGGACTCTAGGACCTATGCACTTTATTTCTGCCCCTGTGGCTTTGGCTGAGACCTGTGTAACCTGCTGTCTCCTCCCCAATCCCACCTGTCACTCCAGATGGTCCCGCTGTGCCTTTCACCATTGATGTACATACTTATGTTTCGAAATCATTTCTTCCTGCTGCTCGAGTTGGGCCATTTTGTTATATATATATATATATATATATATATAAAATAGAAAGTTCTTGGAGTTTGTGCCTTATTAAGGGATTCAGATACTGGGGTTAGATCTTTAAATGCCATCCTCCTTTAGTCACACAAGGAATGAGGAAGGGGAGGTGAACTTGGGCAAAGTCTACCCCTCCTTCCTGTGAGTTGGTTTTAATGTTGGTGGGTGCTTATTTGCTTTTCATTTTGTTTTGTTTTTTTTTGAGACAGAGTGCTTTGTCACCCCAGGTGCGGTGGTATCATAGGTCACAACCTCAGACTCTTGGGCTCAAGCGATTCTCTTGTCTCAGCCTTCCAAGTAGCTGGGACTACAAGCACCCACTACAGTGCCTAGATGTTTTTATAGACAGGATCTTGCTCTAGCTTAGGCTCGTCTCAAACCTGTGAGCTCAAGTGATCCACCCCATCTTGGCCTCCCAGAGTGCTAGGGTTAAAGGCATGAGCCACTGTGCCTGGCCGTGGGTGCTTATTTGTAACTTCAATATAGGGAGAAGTCTGTATGCAGTGGAGCTTATTGAGAATAGGTAGTATTTACGCAGTGCCTACTGTGTTCCAGGCATTCTCTACCCACCAGTGATCTCATTTAAACATTAAGCTTTAATCCTTGCAACCCCCTGTATAGGAGTACACAACTCTTGTTTTAATGTTGAAGGCAGACACAGAGAGGTCAAGTGATCTGCTAGAATTCACACAGCTTTTAAAGGGCAGAGTCACATTTAAACTTTGGCCTCTGATTGCCACAGCTGCAAGTCTTTTACTATGTTCACAATGTAGCTGCTGATTTTTTTTTTTTTTTTGAGACAAGTGATCCTCCTGCCCTAGACTCCACAGTAGCTAGGACTACAGGCAGCAGTATCTAATTTTTCTATTTTTAGTAGAGACAGGTCTCTCTTGCTCAGGCTGTTCTCAAACTCCTGAACTCTTAACAATCCACTTGCCTCTGCCTCCCAGAGTGGTAGGATTACAGATGTGAGTCACCCCAGTGGGCCCAACTGCTGGTTTCTTAAGTGTCGCAGCTGTGAGTGGGGTGTGGATAGCCTTACAGCCCCCCCTGCCCCCCCCCACAGGATTCTTGTGCATTTTTAGGAGGCAGGGAATTCTTGCAAATCTATGGCTGTGTGAGGAGTGTAAGGTCCCCAGAAGTCTCAGGTCCAGGCTGTGAAGGGGGCCTGCGCCCTCAGTAGTCAGGCTTCAGCCACTGTGACAGGATGCTGAGGACCTGCTGAAATTTCCAGGCGCTGGTCAGCCAGTGGTCAGGGCTTCTCTCAGCTCTGAGTTAGGCTGGAATCCTGGGGACATAGTCAGGTGGGCTGATGGGGAGGCCCAGACTCTCACCCTTCTTGCTCCTTTGACCCAGCAGGGGCCCAGAGGGACTCTGACCTAGTTAAGTGGGGTGGGTAGGGTTAGGGGGGCAGGAAGGCAAGGGGAGCTCCTAGGTCTTTGCACGAATGAGGGTGGGTGGTCACATGTAGGAGGGTGGGAGTGGGACCCAGTGCACGTGGTTCTGGGAGTAGGGTTGCCCCATTTATGGTGGAGAGCCCTGTCCCCTTCATACTATGTAGCACTTGATGCAGCAGGTGCTGAAGGTGAGAACCTCACTGAGGATGTGGGACACTGGGGGTTAAGAGCAAGCAGGATGTTCCTGAAGGAACCCACCCGGCAGCCTGGCACAGAATGGTTGCTCACCTCGAAGGCGCTGGGCCGCTGCCTGGCGGAATTTGGGCGAGTCCCCAGCCATCCCACGTGCCGTGCCGCGCCGCGTGTAGGGTGCTCAGCAGCTGCTCGCAGCTCTCGTTCAGCGCCCCTCCACCCCCGCCTCCCCGAGTTCCTCACCTTCCAGCAGACGCACCGCAGGTGCCACATGTGGCAGCACCACCTCACCGGGGTCGCAGGGTCCTGTGAAGGGAGAGAGTCTGATCAGGGTTTGGGGCAGTGGATGGGGCGTAGGGCAAAGGGGGACCCTAGAACAGATGCAAGGGCAGGGCTTGGGGCAGACAGAATAGAGCAGAGCCAGACTGTGTACAGGGCGGGGCGTACGAGGCGAGCGTCTTGAGACGGAGCTTGGGTGAGACCCAGGGAAAGCCTGCAGATCGGAGTCTGGTGTGGAGGGTGGGGCCTACAGAGATCTGCACGGCACAGAGCAGAATCAGGGGCGGAACTTGGAGGCAGTTGTAGAAAGCAGAGTCTAGCAGCGGTTCTCAACCTGTGGGTCGCGACTCCTTTCTAACAATGAAAATACATCGCGGCATTAGGAAGGTTGAGAACCACTGGCCCGAGCAAGGCAGGACTGGTTCCAGGGCGGGGCCTAGTGCAGGGGGCAGGGCTTGGGACGGAGTTAGGGGAGACCTAGGCAAAGGGTCCAGGGCTGACTTGGTGCCGAGGATGTGGCCCATGACAAGGGGCGAGGCCTAGAACTGGATACCAATTAAACTGAGTGTGGTACTGCAAGGGATACTTAGCCCCGGACCGTCTTCACTCACCCTCGCCCTCATCCAGACCCCGCATTAGCGGCTACCGCTCCTGCTCAAAGGCCAGCGCAGCCTCTGTGTGGCTCCGTCGGAGCTGGCGCAATGTGTGCTCCAACCCGGACACCTGGGGGAAGACACCTGAGCCTGCCTTCTCTCCACTCTTCCCAATTGCCTGCACTCCAGCTTCCTCCCATCCCTGCTCCCCACGCACCTGGGGCACGAGCAGGGCGCCCATGACTGCAGCCATCCCAGGCAGGTCTCCTGCCGCCCCTGGTCGCAGGGCTAGTGCGAATTCTACCAAGCCCTTCAGTGCAGCCGCGGGTCCCTCCAGCGCCCAGAGCAGCCCAGCAAGGCCAGCGCCCCGGCCAGCGCCAGCGTCTCATGCCTGCAGAGGTGGAGGGCAGGCATCTGACAACAGTAGGAAGGTTTGCAATGCGGGGATGAGGGGACACCAGAGGAGGCATTACCCATCTCCTCCTCCTCCCTTGCGTACTGTCAATGGGGGAGATGTTTGGTGACTCTGGAGAGTGGGGGGAATTGTTCCTTCCAACCAAGGTTCCAGGGAGCTGGCTCACCTCTCTAGCAGTTCCAACCTCAAGCGATGCCCAAGGGGAAGTGTGAGCAGCTCCAGGCCAGAGGCTACCCTCCTGTTGGCTTGCTGAAGCATGGTCACACCCAGGGGGCCTGTGGCCTGCAGGAGGGAATGGGGAGCTCAGGGAAATGGTAAGTGTATAGGGGCAGTTGGGCCTTGCCTGGCCTCAGCTCTAGGCCTGAAAGAAGTGACTTGGCAGGTGACCCACCTGGCAGTCCACCAATAGCAGGTGAAGGGTGATGCTCTCAGTATGGGGCTCCAAGAAAAGGCCACGGAGAGTATGCAGGACCTCTGGTTCCAGGGGCTGATTCTGGAGGCTCAGCAGGTAGGAGGGAGTGTCATGGGGGCAGAAATAGACCTCAGCCTGTGGTCTTACAAAACATCTCTTCTCTTCATCTTCCTCCTCTTCGTCCCACCACAAGGCCTCTGGCTCTGGCCAGCTCTGACCAGGGGACATTTCCTGGGCACTAACCACTCTAGGCACAAGCTCACAGTATGTTGGGGGTTGTCCAGAGGGTGTCCAGGGGGGCTTGTTTGGTGCCTTGGCATGAAGCTGCCTATCAGAAGCTCTGAGACTGTTGGTGACAGTCCTGAGGAGAGCTGAGGCCTTCAGCAATACCGGGTCACTGCCTGTCTGGGGCAGGCCAGCTATGGGCATAGTGGAGGCTCCTGGAGTCATACAAGAATGGACATGGAAGTACACAGAGAAGTAGCTGGGTGGGTGTAGGGTCATCCATTATCCAGCCATAACAGGGTATCTCAGCTTCCCTTGGTGCAGCTTTGAATATGAACATCACCACCAGTAGAAATGCTATACACTAGGCTCAGCACCTATAGCTCAACCGGCTAAGGCGCCAGCCACGTACACCTAAGGTGGCGGGTTCGAATCCCCAGCCCGGACCCGCCAAAACAACAATGACAGCTGCAACCAAAAAATAGCCGGGCGTTGTGGCGGGCACCTGTGGTCCCAGCTACTTGGGAGGCGGAGGCAGGAGACTCGCTTGAGCCCAGGAGTTGGAGGTTGCTGTGAGCTGTAATGCCATGGCACTCTACCCAGGAGGACAGCTTGAGGCTCTGTCTCAAAAAAAAAAAAAAAAAAAAAAAAGAAATGCTATACACTTACGGATATTTCCAAAACATTCTTTGCCACCTCTTCTGTATTTTTGTGAATTCTGAATACTATGTTTTAAATTTGAATTCTTTATTTTTGCCCCTCTGGTCGAAGATGGCAAGCACTGACAAAATTAAAACATTTAAAAAATGTATTATTCAAAATTCACAAAACTACAGAAGTGTCAAGAAAATAAACTTATTAATGTTTCAAATGATGAATTTTATAAAATGTGTGGCGTATTTGCCTCTGGGGGCAATTACTGCTATAAACAGTGCCAAGACTTTTGGGGGAACTCTTTATCAAGAGTTTGATAATGTTCTAGGTGCTCAAAATCTGTCCAAGTTTCTCAGTATACTGAAAAAGGGCCAGAGTCCCCACAGTAGCTGACAAAACCCTCACAATCTGAGCCCCAGGGTCTCATTCTTGCTGCTTTATCTACATTCATTGGCTGAGTGAATAGTTCAAATTGTTGTTCCCACCCCAGGGTCTTTGCACTGGCTGTTCCTTCTGTCTGGGTCATTCTTACCCCTCAATTATACATTGTTCCTTCCCTCATTTCCTTTAATTTGTTTTTTCAGTGAGTCCTTTCCGGGGACTATAAAAATTGCAGGCTGCAGGCCCGAGGGTGGCTCATGCCTATAATCCTAGCACATCAGGTGGGCCATAGATGGGAGGATTGCTTGAGGAAGGGAGTTAGAGACCAGCTTCAGCAACACAATGGGATCCATCTGCACAAAAAATTTTTTAAAAAGTTAGTTACACATGGTGGCATGTGTCTACAGTCCCAGCTCCTTGTGAGGCTGAGGCAGGAGGATTGCTTGAGCCCAGGAATTTGATGTTGTAGTGAGCTATGATGCCATTGCACGTAGCCCAGGCAACAGTGATACCTTGCTCAATCAATCAACCAAATGCAACATCCACCTCCATCCTTATTTGCCTAACCTCCTGAACTTTGTTTTAATTTTTATCCCAAAACATACACAATTGACTTATTTTTGTGGTTCATGGTCTGTTGTTCTTCAATAGTATATTGCCTCACCTTGGGTAGGGATCTTTGTCTTTCTGGTTCACTGGTGTGTGTTCTAGCACTTAGCACTGGGCCTGCCATGCAGAGGGCTTGTGTTGAATTGGGGGGACACAAAAGGAGCAGGAGGAGACCTACATGGGGTGAGTCCTCTTTTAGGCAAGACAGTCAGAGTCAACTGCTTTGAGGAACTCCTATTGGGTGCAGGGGATCCACTCAGGAAAAGATTAAGGGAATGGGAATGTTCCCATCAATAGTGAGAACAGCAAATGCAAAGGTCCTGGGGCAGAAATAAGTCTGGAAAGTTCCAGCTACTGTGAGGAGGGTTCTGTGATTTGAATGAGAACAGATAGGCTTCTTGGAATAATTGTGAACATGTAAACATGCATTTTAAAGCATCTCCAAAGTTTCTGTGTTTTAGTTCACATGACAACATTGAGGGCATTACTAACCCCATTTTCCAAAGTAAGAAGTTGAGGCTTTGAGAGGTTCCATCACCTGCCCAGGAGTGCTCTGGTGGTGAACAGCAAAGCTGATCTCTGAGCTTTGTGTGTTCTAGCAGATCCTCACCTGGGTCAGAGTGGTCTTCTCTTGACCGCCCCATATACACCAAGTCTGCAGGCTGACTGTTGCTCCACTTCCTTTCCCAGGGGAGAGAGGGTAAAGAGACCTGCAATCTCAGTCTACATAGAACATCCCTCACCAGTACCCAGAAAAGCCCTGCATCCTATCACCCTGTATCAGTGGGTCTACTCAACCAAGGCGTGCTACCTCCAGGGGGTGTTTGCAATGTTGAAACATCTTTAGTAGTTACAGCTAGTCTGAAAAGGAGAGTGGCTTGCTATTGGCATCTAGCAGGTGGAGGCCAAGGATGTGTCCCAAAATGCTACAATGGACAGGACAGCCACTCCACAACCAAGAATTATGGGTCCCTCAATGTCAATAATGCTGATGTGGAGATGCTGGGTGTTTTCAAGGAGGCAGAGAAACAGTGAGCAAGGAGGCAGAGAAACAGTGAGTACCTGAGAGGCTGTATCTGAGCTGTGCTGTCCATGAGGGTGTCCTCACTAAGGCTGTACTGCAGAGGCCCCTGCCAAGTCACAGGCCTGCAGACCACAGCCCCTGTGGCCTGGGACAGGGGGTGCCGATTGGTCATATAACTGCAAACCAGGGCAGGTATACTGGGAAATTGCTCATCCTCCAGCTGTAAGAGGGCCATATGGAACACCTCAAAGTGTAGGACTGAGCCCCGCCAGCAATAGAAGATCACAGGGTGGCCCCCACAGGAACCAGAGGCACGAACCAGGAAGTCACAGTCTTGCTGAAGAAGAGTTTCAGCCTTCTGTGGATGGAGGACGGAGGGCAGGGGGTCTAAGGAATGAGCCCAGACTAGCAGTTAGTTGTGATTCCCTCCACGATGACCTCCCAAAACAAGAAAAGCCACCCTAGTGAAACCTCCGTGGGAGGCAAAGAGTAGGTAGCTTTGCATCAAACCATTTTCCTCTTTCTCATGAGCACCTACGCAGACTACATTTCCCAGATTCCCTTGCAGCCTGGGTCATCATGTGACAAGATCTTGTCAATGGGATGTGGGGTAAAAGTGCTGTGGGCAATATCCAGATCTGCCCCATGGAACTCTCCTGGTTCTGTCCCATATCTGTGGGCTGGATATCCCAAATCCATGGGGCATGGCAGGACCACAGATAGACTTGGCCTTTGGTCTGGATTTATGGAGCTCTGCATCCCTACTCCTCAGACACTTTGGACTATAGTCCAAGGTGACTGGGCTACAAGTCCATAAATACCTGATTATGTTTAGCTGGTGATATCTTGGGAATATTTGTTGCAGCCTCTGGTAGATGCTAACCAATGCAACTTCCAACCTGGTAAATTCACTGGGCTTGCTATGGGAATATGGCTTCAAGAAAAGCCATTAGCTGGATCCTTCCAGACTGTGGCCTCCTAAATTCCTCCTTTTAAAATATTTTCAAGTAGTCTTACTTCAGCTGTGGTGTCTGGTGTCAAAATAGGGTAGGAGGACCAGGCTCCAAAAGGCAAAACTTAGCTGGAGACGGGGGCTGGGGACCTAACAATAAATGTAGTAGGCACACATCTAGTCCTCACAATATGTTCCAGGTACTGCTTTAAATGTTATTTTAAGTATTTTTTTTTTTTTTGAGATAGAGTCTCACTTTGTCACCCTTTGTAGAGTGCTGTGGTGTCATAGCTCACAGCAACCTCAAACTCCCAGGCTCAAGCAATCCTCTTGCCTCAGTTTTTCATTTTTTGTAGAAATGGGGGGTGGGGTGGGAGGGTATCTTACTCTTGCTTAGGCTGGTCTCAAACACATGAGCTCAAGTGATCCACCTGCCTTGGCCTCCCAGAGTGCTGGGATTACAGGTGTGAGCCACTGAGCCCGGCCTAAACGTAATAGGAAGTATTAACTCCTGTAATTCTTATAACAAGGTCAGGTGGTAGGTAATATTATTCTCATTTTAAAGATAGGGAAAATGAGGCCCAGAGAGATCAAACATCTTGCCCAAGGCTACAGAGGATATAAGTTGGAGGGTTGACATTCAAGCCTTTGATGCCTGGATTCAGAGTGTGGGATTTTAACTGCTAAGCGATACTGTCACTCATGATTTTTCTCTTTTTTTAAGAGACAGGAGCTCACTCTGTCACCCGTGCTGGAGTGCAGTGGCGTTATCATAGCTCACTGTAGCTTAAATACCTTGGGGCTCAAATGATTCTCCTGCCTCAGCCTCCCAAGTAGCTGGGACTACAGATACCCAAAAAACCCAGCTAATTTTTAAAAATTTTTTATAATAAGTGATGGGTTCTCATTATGTTACTCAGGCTGGTCTTGAACCAGTGGCCTGAAGTGATCCTCCCAAAGTGCTAAGATTATAGGCATGAGCCACTGTGTCTGAAATCATTAAATCTCATGATTTCATTGGCTTTTCAGTGTTTGAGGTCTCCTGAGGATAAGACCTGAGGGTGGCAGGGAACTTCAAATTGAGAGAGAAATGCCAGGAGGCAGATGGGAAGGGGGGAGAGATGGACAGGACCAAGAGTAGTTTGGGAGTCTTTAGGACCCTTCTCTATCTCTCTATCAGCATCTTCAACACCATCCTAAAGAAAATGAGAATTTAAATATAAAGAGTGACAATTCCCAGGCAGTCAAACTTCAAAACTGAGTGGTTCCCATCCACCTCTCTCAATAGACTCTGGCCCTAAGCCCCCTGACAGGACCCAGGTAGGTCAAGGTTGGAGAGGTTCTCCCTAGATGGAGCTGAGGCCCTGCAGGAGGTAGTACCTGGCGGGACAGGGGGCCACAGTACCAGGGTTGGTTAGCAAGATCCTCTCCATCCTGAGGCACCTGCATGGAACTCTTCAGAATAGATGGTGCCAGGGAAGAGCTCTGCACTGTCAACAGGCCTCAGTCTTCCATATCTGTAAAATGTGACTAATTAGCTTTGCCTCCAGAGTGGCTGGGTCAGCTCCTTCTATGCTCTTCTTGGTTTTGGAGGCAGTAGCTCATATTCTATCATACCTTAAAATGAAACAATGTGGCGAGAATATACAGGGTGCCCCAAAAGTCACCATACATAGGGAAAATGGGAAATTGTAGCTAAATGTACCCTTATTTAAAGTATTCATTACAAAATTTTATAAAAAGGTAACCAATATAGAGAGAATATTTTGAAAAGTTATGTTTGGAGACTTTGGGGACTCTGTTTACACACACACACTCAGCCTTCCCTATTGGCAGGTATTGTACCTGCAGAACCAACCAACTGAAAATAAAAAATGTTTAGAAAAAAATACATGCAATACAAAATACCAATGCAATAAAAAATGATATGGTATAATAGTGATTTATATTATATTAGATATTAGCAATAATCCAGAGATGATTTACACTATTCAGGAAGATGCTCAGGTTTTAGGCACATGCAACATTTTATATCAGGTACTTGAGCATCTGCAGATTTTGGTATCTGAGGGCATGCTGGAAGCAACCCCCCACGGCTACTGGGGATGAAGGATGACTGCATATACATATACAAAATGTAAATGTATGTTATATAAACATATATATTGTAAATTAAACGAGTTACTTGTAGCCAGATTTCATATATATGTTTTATATAAACAACACAAATTTTTTAAGAAATATGTTTAAATATACAAAAGTAAAATTATAAATATTATTTATTATATATCATATTTGTGTATTACATACAGTAATGCATAGTACAGAGGATGCTGAAAAAGTGTACGCATTTTAAGAAAGGAAAAATCTAGATTAAAATTGTGATACTCAATATATACCAATAACAAAAGATAATTACAAGTCATGTTGAGCACCTCTTGCAATTGCAGAAGTCCAATGTGACCTGAGTGTTACAGATTTAATACAGCTTTTTCCTTTCTTAAAATGTGTATACTTTTTTGGCACCCTCTGAATTTAATATATTTACATATAATATATGTTCATATTTATGTAAAAATATAAAATCTGGCTATGAATAACTTAATTAGGATTGGCTGTGATGCTATGGAAACAGCATGTATCTACTACAGTCTTACAAAGGAAGAAGATGTAACACACCCATTACTTTCAAAGGTAATGTAATTTTTATAAAGTGAAAAAATTAACAAAGATGATGTCACACCACCATGTTTTGTAAAAATTCAATTAATGAGCCCACATTTATGGGACACCAAAGGTGTGGCAGACAGCTATTCTAGGCATTAGAGACCCACTGTGAACAAATGGATAGGAATCCCTGCTTGGGGAAGGGGGGATGACTAAGAAATAATTAGATGATAGAGTACACCAGAGAGTGTCAGGCAGAAAAACCAAACCCAGGACAGGATATGATGAAGGTTCCAGTGGTGGGGCAAAAATTCTTGGTAGTGTGGCCAGGAAGGGCCTCACAGAGTAAAAATGGTAGGATTCTGAGGGAGTGAGCCTAGTGACTCTCTGAATAAAAAGAAAAAAAAGTTCCAGGTAGTAGGAATTTAGGTAACTTATAAATATGTCCAAGTTTCTCACCAATCCATGTACACACTCCAGGATTCTCAGGATGTGTGCAAACCTAACCCATACATTTTTTTAGGTTATAACACCATTGTGAAGGTTCTTAAAAGGTCATATTTTGTAGAAATGTCAGAAAACTGCCAATTTGGAATTGGCAGATTCTTCTCATATTTTGAAATGAATACAATTTATTTTTTCTATTGTTTCTAGCTTTTTTTTTTTTTTTAGACAGAGTCTCACTCTGTCGCCCTGCGTAGAGTGCCTTGGCGTCATAGCTCACAGCAACCTCAAATTCTTGGGCTCAAGTGACTCTCTTGCCTCAGCCTCCTGAGGAGCTGGGAATAGAGGCACCTGCCACAGAGCCCAGCTAGTTTTTCTATTTTTAGTATAGATTCTCACTAGTTTCTCTATTTTTAGTAGATACAGGATCTCACTTTTCTTCAGGATGGAACTCCTGAACTCAAGCAATCTACCCATCTCAGTCTCCCAGAGTGCTAGGATTATAGGCATGAGCCACCACACCCAGCCACAATTTGTTATTACGATGGTCCAATGTAGGTCTCAGACATTTTGGTAGTTTCCTGATAATCTCACAAGTCTTCGGGGCAGTGTGTCTTAAGTGTCTGGTGGGAAAAACTGCTGTGCGTGGAAAGGAAGAGGAGAATATGCTCTTACCCTCCCCCAGCCCCTTCCCCCCAGGCCTTGATCTGGAGGGGTCTTTAGGGAAATAGCGCCAGGATTCTAGCCTCCTGAGTCAGCAGGCCTAGAAGCGGATGGAAGTTTCTAGACCCGCCCTTGCCCTCGCAGCTTCAGGGGTAGAGAGCTGGCTACAGGTGCTGCATACCTGAAACCAGGTGTGTCTTCAGAATGCCTGTGCACTTCCTATTTGTCAGCTGGCCAGGACTGGCCTTGGTCTTAAGACTTAAGAGACTCCCAAACCCAACTACCTCTTGGTTGGTAGAGAGTGCAAGTGGATCACTGGCAAGGCTCTTATTAGTTTGAGGACACATGTATATGGCAGGGGTGGAGTGAGGGGACACCAGCATAGATAGCATGGACACAGATAGACTCAAGGACTCACACTTGACATTAAGCAAACACTAATTTGTTGAGCACCTACTGTGTGCCAGGCTCTGTTTCTAGACCCTGAAGATACAATGATGACACTGACAAGATGAAGGCCCAGCCTGCATCACCCTGCCCTGCCCTCCCGAGCTCCCAGTCTGCTGGGTAAGGCAGACACACAAGAACACAAAGAATGAAGAAGATAATTTTTTGGAGTAATCAATGAAGACGATAAGACAGATTTAATAAAGAATGTTGGAAGGGTGGACGTGGGCTATCTTAAATAGCAAAGTCAGGACAGGCTTCTCCCATGAGGTGATGTGGGAACTGAGACCTCAGTACAGAAGGATGGAGTTAGGGAAAGATTTGGAGGTGTCATCCAGGTTGAGGGGCAGGGGATACAGCAAGTGCAAAGGTCTGTAGGTGAGATGGAGCTTGGTTTTTAACGTCTTACCTCATCAGGGAGGCTGGTGTGGCTGGAATACAATGAATGTGGAGCACAGGGGAGGACATGAAGTTAGGGAGACCAGTACGGGAGGCCATGCAGGAACTGGTGCACCCTGAATTTTAAACTCAGTGGGAGGGAGTGGGAACCCTGCAAGGGTTTTAAGTGAAGGAGGGACACAATCTGATTCATAGTTTAAAAAGGTCACTCCTGCAAAAATAGAAACAGAGAGTCTTTCACGCTGCACAGGAAACACACCTAGAGGGGCACGCCTAGGTGCGCCTGGCTACACAGACATGCCTGGCACGCGGCGACCCCACTCACTCACTCTGAGGCCTCTTCTGTTTCCGCGAACCCCGCCAGGTCCTTCCTGAGAGCTGCTGGCCCCACCTGGAAGAAGAGGATTCCCCACCCCCAGTAACCCCCTGGTCCTGGATCTGTCCGGAGGCTCCACTCACCCGGGCAGGACCCGCGGGGCTCCCACATGCCTGGGGCCAGGCGGAAGCCTGAGGCTCTGCGGCTCCCGGCCGCTGCCCACAGCACCCCTGCTCCCCGCCCTAGCAGGTCAGGCCTCCCAGGGTGGGCCGCACCCAAGTGAGAGCCAAGCCCAGTCACCTGGCCACTCCCGCTTCAGACTCCTCCCCACGCAGACCCCGCCTCCAACCCAACCAGCCCCGCTTTCACCCTCCTCTGGTTTTCGCTCCGCCTCCTTAGCACTTTTTTTCTACTAATCACGCCCCCTGTGGATACTCTCCCCTTTGGGGAACTCAGCCCAGCCCTTCCTTCCGGTGGCCCCGCCCCTTAAACGTAGCACCACCCAAATGCCCACGCCCCTTCGTAACTCCTTCCCTGACTCCAGGCCCTTTGAGACCCACGTAGAGTGGGGGAGTGTCTCTCTCCTTGGCCACCGCACCCGGAACTCGGTCTAACGCCCCCTAGTGGTTACAAGAATAAAAAAAGATGGGGCCATCCCCTTGGGCTTTCACGTCTCGAGATGCGTGGCGGCTGGCGGCTGTGACGTCCTGGAGAGGAAGGAGCTTTCTCCAGACTGCCCCCTTGGGTTTCCCGGAAAGGAGAGCTAGTTGGGTGGCAGGTTTTCTGGAGGAATTTGCGGGAAAACACGACAGCCTCCTCCAGAGGCAGCACGTTGGTGCTGGGCAGAACTTAGGGGAAGGTGGAGGGCAAAGCTCTCAGGTGATTTCCTAGGTAGCAGGAAGTGGAGGCTTCCAGCTGTATTTCTGGAGACAGAAAAGGTGGTCATGTTTATTAACAAGGGCTCATCATAGTAACAGTCTTGAAAGCTGTAGTTGCAGTTAAGCATTTTTGAGCACTTACTGTATACCAGGACCCTTTTGCTTGCTCGGCCCGCCTCAAGGCATTTACTTTTCACATAGAACACCCTAAAAGGGTCGCTGTTGCTATTTTCATCATCAAGCACAGGGCAACTAAAACATTTGCCCAAGTTGACACAGCTTCGTGAGTGGTAGAGGTGGGATTTGAACCTAGATCCCTGGGGCGCTATCCTGTCTGCCTAGTTTTTATCGTTGTGAGTCCACTATCTCTGATCCTCATGATATTTCTGTGCCGTGAAAGTTGCTCATTTTACAGACGAGGAAAGTGACTCGTAGAAAGCCAAAGATGTTTGAGGATGAAGTTTTGATGGTTGTAGAGCTGCAAAGGAGGGAATTTTTAGACTAGGCTCCCCACGCCCCTTCCGTATGGCTCGGAAGGGCAGCCTTTCAACCTTAACTCCCATCCTGCCTAGTTTTGGTGCAGTAGGAGGGTACGGGGTCTGTCCAGTGAAGGAGTCTAGCGCCCCCTAGTGGTTACAAGAATAAGAACAGAAACCCCGGGCGAAGAGTATTCAGATGGAGGGGG